ATCACATAACGGCATTGTAATACACGGTTCGGCTGCATTAAATATTACATATCCTCCGTAGTTCTCTATTTATAGAGCACTGATGAGAAGACTTCTAGACAAACATAAGGAACTGCCGCCAACACTGAAAACGTGACGTGGATCACCTCCCATCACACAAGCATGTAAAAAGCAAAAGCCTTGATGANACGGGCGCGTTACGACTGCGCCGCGGTGCTCACGGCGATCGCGGCCACTCTAGTCAATGGGTGCTATTCCACCACACGCGGCGCATTACGGCTCAGAAGCGTCCCAGAAGCGTCCCAGAAGCGCCTCAGCGCAGGGTCTCCTTTTTTTTCTAATTAGGATGAATCCTATTTTTGTACGCGGCGCAGCCGTAACGTAAGGTCGGCAGGCAGGAAGTGGAACGGTTAGAGCTTATAGCATATATATATATATATACACACAAACTAATTTTGCAGACCCTATCCCTCCGTAGTCTTTCAGGAAATGCCAGCGTTCTCCTCCGGTTTACAGGCACTGTGTAAATTATATGTAGGCTATAGAATAATTATGATGATGAATGCATTTTTTTACCACTAAAATACAACAACACATCTTTGATTCATGTCGTTTATAACTGGGATATTACAATTATTATTAACTTTGTCTGTACAAAGTAGCCTGTCCAGGAAATATGCCCAGCGAGCAGGCAGGCAAGACGCTCCGCTTCTGAAATGCTTCTGAAACGCGCCCGGTAGGGTATGACGCCGGAGGAGGCCGGACCAAAACCGCGGCGCAGCCGTAACGCACCGCAGACGGACCCGGTGGAATCTAGGGGTTAGTGTCCACAACAGTGGCCGCGGGTAACGTAATGTCCCCATGATCTGAACTGTTATTACCTGCAGTAGATGGAGTGTTACTGCTGACGATTAGGGCTGGTTGTTTTAACCATTTTCTGATGTCCATCATTGACTATATTCTTATTATTATTATTATTGTTATTATTACTACAATTATTATTATTGTTAATATATATGTAATATTTTTCACTTTAGATTTTTTTTTTTCACTTTAGATTTTATTTATTTTTTCACTTTGAATTTTTTTTTTTTTTCACTTTTCATTTTTCAAATGAGGGTGCATAATGACTCAACTGAGGGTGCAATGCACCCTTATGAAAATGAAAAGTGAAAAAAAAAAAAAATTCAAAGTGAAAAAATAAATAAANGTTTAAGAAGTGTGTTTTAAAGTTAGAGCCCAACTAACCAATCAGATGGGCCAATCAATCAGGCATTCTTAGCTTGATTAGATTACATTCCACTATATTGTCATTGCCTATAGTACAACGACACACAGGCCCAATCCCAAACCAAGCCCTTCACCCACACCTACACACTCCCCCTCCGTGACGACGGAGTGAACTCCGACACTCGCAGCTCAACTGGTCCACTGTGGCACTCTAACGTAACATAGGTACAGACAGTAAACAACAAAGTAGTGAGGTTGTTGAAAGTGACCTGCCTTATTCATTTTACTTCACTTTCAAGTAACAGAATAATTTAGGGTTAACATGTGAAAGTTGAATACATAAACAATGGCTGGATTACATTTAACTGATTTAGTTTCAGGGTCCTTGTATGGCTTTCACGCTGATGTTGTTCCTGGGGAAAAGGCCTATACCTATTCATAACTGATGTGTTAATATGTTCACAATCATTTTACCCATATGAGAGGACATTCATTTTGTTGTAGAATCTGATGTGACCATATTTTCTTGGTAGTGACAATGTAAGAAGTTTGTCTGATCGAAACAGAGAGCAGTAGATTTGGAAGTCTGAGAATAATTGAAACTAGAATGTCTAAAAGGCTCATAAGAAATGACACCCATGCTCATATTTCTTAGTAAATGGTACTGACTGGAAGCATGTTTGTGGTGTAGTAGAGAGTGGGTGGAAAGAGCCTACTGGCAACATCAGCTCTTACAAACATCCTCAGATCATTTCAAGTGTCTTCAGGGAAGGATAGGAACTGCATTATAAACAATTTGATAAGACTTCAACATATTCCCACTTGTTTTAAGCATAGTGTGTATGTGTGGGCGTTTGTTATGTTGTACAATTATTTGTGATATTTCCAGCCACCAAGGAAACGCCTGTTTCTGTATCCTGTCATGTGATTTCCTGTGATCGGTCAAATTCAGTCGCAGTCAGTCTATATGTGAACATATGTGACATTTGCTCCGCCTGCCACCAAGTGAGCCCTACCAACAGGACTTGAGGAACAGCACTAGCTTTAGATCAGCAGCTCAGGGGTCTCACGTTTGGAGGGCGTTGATGTGGGATGCAATGCAGAATGTTTTGATGCAGATTGCGGAAGTAACTTTTTCACAACTTTAGGTTGCAGCTGGAGATGTGTGTGTTTCATCTGAAGCCAGAAGATTGGCGTTTGAGCATTAGTTATTAGAAAAGAGGAAGTGCAGCTAGAAAAAATGGAGGAGCACAAAACTGTCAACTTCATGAGACTCCTATCAGGTAACAAAAAATAATACAAATGTGCTTGTGCATTTTCAGTGTGTGTGTGAGACGACATTTAGCTTTTTCCTGACTGTGACTGTATTTCGAAGTAAATATTGCAATGCTTCAATTCAACTGTGCTGAATGTCAACTGGTTAGCCCTCTCATGTCTAGTTCATAATAATTAATAAAAGGGTTGAATTTTAGTATTACGCAAGTGATATAAACATTGAAATACTTCATGATAATCATTTTTACACACCTGCAATGGATAGAAGACACTAATGACATTTCATCTGCAGGAAAGATAAGGAGAAAAAAGGAAAGCAAGCAGGAGGGTATAGCTGTCAGGTGTAAAGAAACATAGTTTGTATATTTATAATCCAACAAATTAATAAACAGAAACTGAAATTAGTATTCTCAAGTGTCTTTTGATTATCAATTGATCGACTTATCAAGAAGATAATATGCAGCTGATAAAAAAAAAAAAATAGACTATACCTGTTACCCTACCCTTAAAAGTAGTTAAATATCTCGTTTGAAAACATGCACTTTAATCCACTTTTCTCACCACAGATGACAGCACTCACTCCACTGTGTCGTTGGACTCCTGTGAATACTACCAGACGGAGATATTTGACCTCCTGCCCAGTATCCAGGCCAGTCGGCCCGAGCAGAGCAGAAAGCCCAGCGAGGCCTACCAGGATGGCCCCGTTCCTGGGGAGCAGAGCGTCCATGGCCACCTGTCCAGTGGACCCAGAGATAAGGCCCCCACACAGCCACTTAGGAACATGGTCATCTGTATTCAGGGGAAGAGAAACGCCAGGTGGGAAACCTTTTTCACTCCTCAAATCTGCCACCTCTCATTCTGGATCTTATTTTGACTTCCCCCTGTATAAGGTCCAAGATTTCCTTACTCAGTGCATACACCATTTGGTAGATACATATAAAATAGATTTTCTTTTAATCAACCTTTTTTGTTTTAATAACTGTAATCCTGTAACGACCGAATGAACACAAGCGGAGGACTCAATAGCACGACTCAGAGACAGAGGCTTAGGACGCAAAAAAAGGTCTTCATAGCCAAGGTTCGGTACACGGGAGATCAGTCAATAAGGCTAACAAAACAGACGAGGAGTAGACAGGGACCGGGTCAGGACACGAAGCTGGGTCAGGTACACGTGGAATCAGATACTAGGAAAAATACTGCTGGAACGCTAGGAATAACTAAGACGAACTGGCACTGAAGGGAATGTGGATGCAGACTAAGTAGGCAGAGGGAGAGATGATAATGGGGCACAGGTGAGGCTAATTAGGGATGGGAAGCAGGTGGAGTTCAATCAAGGGCAGGAAAGCTGAGATTGAAATGAGAGAAACCACAATGAAAACAGGAACAAAAACATCAACATGCTGGCTAGGCCCTTACAGTACCCCCCCTCTAGGGACGGCACCTGACATCCCAGGTAGTTCAGGATGTTGGTGTTGAAAGTCTTTGAAGGTCCTTACTGACATTACTATAGACCATGACCTCTCCTCAGGACCATAGCCCTCCCAGTCAACCAGGTACTGACGTCCCCGGCCTCTAGGTCGAACTGCCAAGAGGCGTTTCACAGTATATACAGGTCCACCATCAATAAACCGNGTCTGCCTAGATGTGGTACCCCTGCTGGTCTAAGAGTGAAACAAACTCATTCAGTTAAAATTCATTAAATTATCTCTGCCACCTTATATATTTATATTTATGGCTTTACTGATGGGCCACAATAATGTCACCTAATGATATTGTGGCTTTCCAAGTTAACATTGATTGATATGACTGCGATTAAATCAGGGGATGCCACACCTGAAATTCTCCTGCCACCCTCTTGCCACCCCATGAATATTTTTCTAGATCCTCCCCTGAACAGAGGAGACACTATGAACTTGATGTTGCTCCTGAGCCAAACCACCCCCAAAACACCCTCTCCAGCTGGGGTTGACACCAGGTTGACACACATTTAAGAGACGGATCACGTTTGGTTCAGTCGGATAATATCCACATGTCTCCCTACTTTTATAATTTTCGAATCATAAATCTAATCGATAGATTTATGATCGATAGATTAATATTCAATGCAGACTCAACTTTTGTAGGTAATGCAATAACTCATATGTCAATAATTACAACACTGACTGTCACACAAAGTGGTCTTTTGTGTACTTTTTCATTGTTTGGGACCCTATGTTTGGGACCTGTAGAGGGATTTCAAGCTTGAATAGGACTCACCCAAGAGAGGAAACTCTGCAAGGGGCGCATTTAAGGTACATCGTTATCAGTAGACGGTTATTCCGATAATTATTTCAGCTCATGAATGAATTGGAGCGCACGAACGTTTTAACCCAATAACTGGAAATTGTCATACGCAACTAAAATTCAAGCTACTGGTATGCATAGTCTCGTATTGAAGATGTACAAAATAAAAACTCCCCTCCAAGTAAAATGGTTTCTCCCAAACTGTCCGGTTGCGCGTGGAGACTAGTATTTTTGACTGATACTCGAGCACAGAGTAGACTGGTTTGTCAAGTTGCGGAGAGGTGAGTGAACTATCTTTAGTCTATATCCAGGTTTTAAGGCTTTATTCGCGACGTAAAACACCATATTTGACGTGACCTCCAATGTAAGAGTTTGTGAACTTTGTTAAGCTCGTCGACAGGTTGACAAGCTCTTACTCGCCGCTGGCCGTCACTGACTAGTTAACATGTAGACTGGGAGACACCATACACAGAAGAAGCCAGTGTTTTTAAAACGGTGGGACTTTGCCCTGTTTCGTTCTGAGATGTGTGCCTGTTCAACTGAAAAAGCCTACATAAGCTATTACAGCTGCACTGACTCATTGTCAGAGGTGGAAGAACTACTGAGATCTTGTAGTAAAAGTTGAGGTAATAGAGTGTAGGAATACTCTGTTACAAGTAAAAGTCCTGCAATCAACATGTTACTAAAGTATGAGCATCAGATTACATTTAAAGTACAAAAAAGTATGCATATTGGCCTATTTTAGAATATATATATATAACATGTTTGATCATAATTATTGATGCATTAAAGTGTTATCAAAGCTGGTAAAGGTGCAGGTAGTCACTGCAGGGTAGCTTGTGAACTTACTCCAGGTGTAACTAAAGTCTTTTAGCTATTGATTTTATTTCACATCATTAACATAAATCTGGTATTGAATATATGTAGTGGAGTACTTTGTAGAAGTACAAAGTACCTCACAATTGTACTTAAGTTAAGTACGGTACTAGAGTAAATCTACTTGGTTACTTAACATGACTCTCCATTGTGCAGAAGCAGGGTAGTTTGTTGTGGCAGAACTATTTTACTTGTGCTTTTTAATGTCAGAAACGTAAGCAATATGTTTGCCACATGTGTTTCTGCACTGTTTCCAGGGCCTGTCATCCAGCCAACATTAAACCCATAATTGTATGTCCTATTTTCTGAATGAAGGCGGACCGACATGCCTCAGGTTGCAATAACAGACTGATATTGTACGTACATGCATGCCTGACCGTGTTAGAGACAGTAGAGTTAATTGAATGCACATTTTCTCTTTGCCTGCCTGCATCTCCCCTGTTACTCTTCCCTGTCTCCTCTGCTTTCCATGCCTTTTCCTTTTTCTTATGTCTTACACCAAAAGGAGATCATAACTAAAACCACAGAAATGTAAGTTAGTTTTTTATAATCGTAACCATTCTCACACTGTAACCTCCCTTTCCTGAGGCTTAACAGATAACATGAGGGTATTGAAATACAAGAATCCCTGCTGCCATGTTTACTGTAGCTATGTGCCTCTCTGCTCCCTCCATTGTGTTTTTTCATAGCACCCTGTGAACTGGTTTCCATGCAGTTGTTGCAAGCTGTCAGCGTAGACACACTCCTTCACACCCCTTCCTTCCATTTACCCTTTTTTCTCACCCTCATATCTGCTGATAACTGCCCTCTGTTTTGTCTGTTATCCACTGGAAAGTGTCTACTCTTTTCTGTGATGTTTGGCAGTGTTTTCATTTGAGGACAGGGATGCCTTTCTTGTGCAGTAGTTTCAGATATGCGTTTTTTTTAAGGAACAATGTTCTCAAATTAACTTGTTATGTTAAAGCACGTCGACTGCATCTGTATTCTAATTAGTTTTTGAAGTTTATTTTACTTGGCTTTAGTGCAGCTCAACTCTCTGACCCCCTGTTGGTTGTGTTGGATGTTTGTCCCACCCCCACAATATCCTGCTCCTGCTGTACAGATTGTATTTTCTCACAGGACTTCTTCAACATCAGTGTATCAAAGTATCAAAGAGTCAAATGAACACATTTTAGAGAAAAAAACAGCTACTTCAGCATCGCTGCTAAAAGCCTTTGTGTTTGTTTCTGTGCCCTAAAGAGGTGACACAGCATTTTAAATCACATAAAAAGGGATCGACTACAACAGATATGTGGAATAGAAAACAAGTTCAGTTAGGCGAATGTAACATGATCCTGAAAACTTTAGGTAATAAAAAAAGTGTGTTTGAGAGGAACAAAAGCATATGTGTGCAGTCGATTGCCAAAAACGAACCAGCACAAAAGCGGGCTTTAGATTGAAGGTGGTACAGGGACATATTTGAGCCGTTCAGTCATGGAGTCAGTGTGTTGTGATGACATTCAGAGCTGCGCCCTGCTTTATGCATGCAGCTGATATCATATTCCCTCCAGACCAGAACCAGAAATTCTCCACTCCAAGCAAACGTTTGGTTTCATACTCACACATTGTTTGTTTTCATTCGGCCATTACATTTTACACAATGCCCTGCATTAAACAAACACAACCAACAGTGACGTGTTTAATGCTTCAATCCTAAACTCTTTGCAGTGAGTATGAGTGCACAGTCTATGTTTATGACGTAGGAGCCTTTTGCTGGGAACAACTTGTGCTTAAGCAAGCAATACATGAGTTTAAGGGGAACTTAGCTTTTGTTCTGAATGAGCCAAACTCAAGTATACTTCATGTCTGTGGGAGTTTTTGTTGAATGTAGAGCTCAAGAAATACTCTGTGTTTGCAGGGTAAATACTCCTTTGTACTGCAGAGCATAACCCTCTGCAAACCCTGAACCCTCAGATCTTTCTCATGAACGTACAAAATCCTAAGAGGCACTATTTTAAACCACTGGGTGCATGTCAACAGGAAGTGGTTTTTACGGTGAACTTTGAACTGAAATAAGTAGTTGGCCTAGATATTTATCTTTGGGGAAAAGCTGGTTTCCCAATTCCATAGACATCCATTTACTGAGATGAACTAGATAGGGCTATCTAATAAGGAGATAAGATATCTCATTATCAATTGTGTAAGTAAATTGTATGGTGCTTTGACAAAGTGTTAAGTAAATTACATATTTAGGTAAATTACATCACTTAATCATCACTTAAATGTAGCCTTTAACACCAGGGAAAGATACTTGTGATAATACGATATCCTTAATCTAAGACCATATCAATTCTTCTTTATATCGATATAAATTGCCCCTCCTTAAAGCCAGACTAAACTCCCTTTTCAGCATCCTCTCAAACAGAGCTGCTGCTGCTGCTGGGTCATCATTTACTTTTGATGCAAATTGTCTTCAAATAATTGATTTATTATACATTTATTCAAAACTTCACGAGTCATTTGTACCTACGCTTTTCTGTGATGTTTGGCAGTGATGGACAGGGATGCCTTTCTTTATAGTTTCAGATATGCGTTTTTTTGAAGGAACAATGTTCTCAAATTAACTTGTAACATTATCTAAATGCACATCAACTGTGCTGATACCATCAACATAAAAGTATGAAACAACATTGAATCATGTTTTTTGTAATTACATTTTTTGTAAATCAATTGATACATTGTTGATGGATTCCCTATTTGAAGATGTAAGGCTAAATCAGTGACTTTAATGCCTGGAAAATCCCTTTGTTTTGGCATTGTTATGCTTTTTTCTTTTGTTTTTCGTAAAAATCCTGCTAATTGATTTGATCAGCTGTTTTTCATGGCCCTCTCTGCTGTCCAAAGGTCCGTCGTTTAGCAGAATATATATCTGGTTTTTTTTTTGGGGGGGGGGGTTTATTAACTTGGATGAATCTGGTAAAGAGGTTTTATTAGTTTTTAATGAATATCTGGATCCAATTTTCTTGAATCCTTGTTTTAAAACACCAGCACATGTCCCCTCGGAGTCTTTGATAAAGGTTATCATGAACGATTTTTGGACTTGCAACAGAGGAACCAGCACGCTTCCTCTAAACCTCCCATATGACACACTCTGCAAACACTGACAATACATCATTCTGTCTGAGGCCATGAATATTCATTTCATACATCTGACTCTGACCGCAGTCTTTATCACAAGCAGGGCAACAATGGAGCTCTCATGACCCGGGACAAAATGACTCCATGAGTCAACGTCACCTCCCACTTGATGACTGCATGCAAACATCTCTGTGCAAGATCTTAAAGAGGACATATAATACTTATTTTCAGGGTTCATAATTGTATTTTGGGCCTCCACTGTGACACGTTAACATCCTGAATGTTCAAAAAGCTCTTTATTGTTCTCATACTGCCTGTGCTGCAGCACCTCTTTTCACCCTCTGTCTGAAACCAGAGGCCAGTCTGCTCTGATTGGTTAGCTGGCCGGCTCTCTTGGGGCTGCTCAAATAATCATATTTTAATCGCGATTACGATTATGGCTTGCAACGATTACGAAAACAACGTAATCGAAATAAAACGATTTTTAAATTTTTTTTTTTTTATTATACTTAAAGTTCAGGGTAATCAACTGTTAAAAACATACTGTTCAATGTTTTTTCTCCAATAAATTGATGTTTTCAAAGTAAATGGATAATTGTTTTTAATAATCATGATATCAATTATTGACCCAGTGGAGTGAGTGATATGTTGAATATGTTTTACCAAAATGTTGGCTATATGTTAAGGAGTTTTCAGGTTGTGACAGTACACTGCAACATGTTTGTTGATCTTGCTTATTGGTATTTATTATTTTGATATTATTTATTTAAATGTAGACATGAATGTATATTTATTTTATTTTATATTGGTTTTTCAGTTGATTACCCTGAACGTATAATTCAACAGTTAAAAAGTTCAAATTATTATTTGTATTTGTTTTAAAGTACAATAAATGGATGTTTTCAAAGTCGATGAATAATCACATTTAATAATCGCAATTACAATTATTGAACCAAATAATAGAGATTATGATTTTTGCCATAATCGAGCAGCCCTAGGCTCTGTTGTGATTGGTCAACAGCTTGGAGATGTCCTGCCTCTTAGCTTATCACGTACAATGTGTCAGAGCGCTGGTTAATAAAAGCGAGAGTGTTACATAGTGATATCATTTCTTTATGGAAGTAAACAAAGGAGTCCAATGGAGGCGTTTCAGGCAATCGAGGGGGGGGGGGAGTGTGTGGGAGAGAAACTCCCTCTGGAGGGAACACTGGGATTTTAGTCTTTGCCGACCATTTACATGCACACAAATCTATATAACACACTACAGGAACGGGAGAACNAAGGACGTACCAAGTAGGAGGTCGTTTCGAGGACATCGAGGGGGGGGGGGGAGGTGTGTGGGAGAGAAACTCCCTCTGGAGGGAACACTGGGATTTTAGTCTTTGCCGACCATTTACATGCACACAAATCTATATAACACACTACAGGAACGGGAGAACCCTAAAGAACATGATAGGGCCCCTTTATACAGGGCAATGTTTGAAGGTTCTTTTTATGTGTCTGGATCACAGGCAACGTGTGAATGAGACCCGGAGCTGGAAGTGACGTTGTCAATGTCATGAACACCCCCGAGGTTTTAGCCCTCACTATGCAGTTAAGAATGTGTGAAGGCAAGCAGTAACACGGCAGGAGCGTTCAGATTCCACAGAAATCTGCTGGCTCCTTACCCATACCTGTAAGTCTCATCGCTCCGCCTCCCCTTCTTTTCCCCTCCTCTCTCAGGTAGACTAAGAAAACACCATGGTGGGAGTGGAGTGCAGGTCTGAGCAGGCGAGGGTGTGATCCCTCTACGATTGGTCGACAAAGAGACCGACGGCCCGACAGCTCCAGACTGTTAGATAAGGAAAATGGCTCGAAATGTTGCCTTTGACCTGAACCACCCTCTCATGGAAGCTGGACTGGAGTAAGTAACTAAGTCGTCCTCTCTATCTCTTCACGTTCCTCCTGTTTGTGTCTGGGTTTGGTTTCAAGCAGGCTGTTGAATGCCGTAAGGGTGGGAAGAAAATAAGGAACCGAGATGACAGGATTAGATGTGCTCTTTGAAGTCTTGTTAGACACTAAACTCACAGGCAGATTAGAGTGCGCAGGTTCCCAGGGCTTTCATGTACGCTCTTTTAAACCATGTAACTAGCTTCTAACCTGCGCTGCATTGAAAGGCTTGTATTTACTCTGTTCAAAGCCTTTAACAATAAGTGTACATGTTTGTTTGTTTGTTTGCACTATATCTCACAGCACAGGTCTGTTTTGCCTGCGGGGCCCGTTCTTATGCTATCTGTGTAAAAGTACTGACTCACAGGGAACTGTACTTGCAGTTATTTCTTGTTTGATTTCTCGCTGTAAGACTAAAACAAAAAGAAGCAGGTTTTGACAAAATGTCTAGATAGCGCAGGAAGAGGGTCACACAGGCAATTTAGGCTGTACTGCCCACATATGAATCACAAGGACTTTAAATATTCTTCCTGGGCTTTCTGGTTTAAGTTCCCCCCCCACGAGACTAATGGTGACTAAGTCACATTGTCATTGTGTTTATCTGTAGGGTTGTATGTGGCTCTCTGGATCTGATACAAAGAGTGTTTGAATCTAGTCTCTGTTTCTGAGCCTGTGTCCCCCTCTTTTCTGTCTTTGTATCTGTACTCATATCCATGTGTCCCTCTGTCAGGAGTCCAATAGACGAGGAAGGTGTTCATGACTCGTTCAGCCAGCTGATAGCAGAGCAGAGTCAGAATGGAGGAGCGTCTGACTCTGACGCCTTCGAGCTGCAGGAGCTGCAGAGACAACTGGACGAGGAGGAGCGAGGTACTCTTGGTTTGAGAACACAATTTATACACTAAGAAATATGTGGCATTGATAAAAAGATATCTGAATCTATTTGATGAAGCTTAAGCGCTTCTTGAAAGCTAATAAAGCATTGATTGCTACATCTTTTAAACTTGCTTAAGTCTTTTGAGTAAAATAAACTTTTGGGTCATCATGTGTATATTCGTAACATCACATGACTGTCTTTGCACTATATACTCACATTTTAGAATTCAGGGTTAAAAAAAGTCAATACATCAAACGTTGTCTTTCTTTCCTAGCAGTAGCAATAAGTTTCATTTGAAATGTCCTTCAACTCCACAGACAATGTTGCCTTCCTGTCAGGCCCTGGACGTGAGTTACGTGAGTTTCAGGGAAGGAGGCAGAGGGACGCAGAATGGGAGGACGCTGAAACCCAGGCGGACCCCCTCATAGGGGAACGATGGTCCTCTGCAACCATGAAGATCCTCTCCTCCATGCCCAGCCGAACGATCGGTAAGTCTTGCAAAATACGGAGGGAAATACTGATGCTTAACTGACAAATGAATTGATGCTTCATATAACTGAGTCTCAATTTGTACAAGTGTTGTACTTACAATTGTATAGGTCCCCTTTTATAAAAATGTCTTTTTTTCCGTTAGGTGCTGTTTAAGTATCAAAGTGCTCAATCCACTTAGAGATGCACAAGGCCATTATTCAGAAACTAAGTGTTCTTGAATGAGCCGTCAGGGATTATGTAAAGGTTGTGAATGTGATCTCACAACTAGATAAATATGTAAGTAGGAAGTGCAGCTTAGTGCCATCACAGCGTCAGAGCAGCCTGAGTTTCTTTTAATGAAAAAGGCTTAAAAAGGCCGGAGCTAAAACTTTTGATCAGAGTTTGAAGTGAATAATTGCGTTTTGATAGATTTTTTTTTAAGGATTCAAGAGTGTTGGCCTTTTGGATGTAATAATGGGCCAATAAAGTCAATGTGAGAAAAATAATGAGTTTTTCAAAGCATTTACTGGTAGAAACCCAAGATATAGAAATTAGCATAAGTCCACTTTAAAATCACTTCAAGATCTCAAGCCCGTCTTCCAGTTATGAGAACTTGTACCACCCATTGTCCGTTAAAACCCATTTATAGTGCAGCAAAGATTGTGAAATTGCTGAGAACATCACTAATCATAGTTCCCTTAAAAAATGAAATGTATTGGTTATAAAGTCTCTTAAGACAGGAAACACTTCATGTACATTAAAGTTGCTCTTGTTGGAAGTGGCAAATGTTACTTATCCATCAAAGATCAGACCGTAGTCATTTCTGTGGAAGGTGCCCATGTTGAGCTGCAGATAAAAACAGACTGCTGAGTTTCATGGGGCTGGGCGATATATCGAGTTTACACGATACATCGTGGATTGCACTCCATGCGATGTCGTAAATGACCACATCGTGAACATCGAGTATTATGTTGTCAAATCAATTTCCCGCCGCGGCCAAAATGAGCTTTCCTTTCTCCCTCATAGACACAGTCACACACGCAGGCACACACTGCACACAAACATTACACACATGCACAGTGACAGAGAGCAGGGCTTGACATTATAAATGGCCCGCTGGGCCGGAAGCACTATTTAGACACCCCGGGCCAGCATAACGTACTTTCCACTTGCCTGCTCGGGCCACTAAAAATATTGCTTAAAAAAAATAAAAATGTCCTGTGGTATAGGTATTTTGACAAGCAATGTTGTTAAATTGTTTCGTTTATTAACACTACAACATAGCGTTTCGTGAGGCGGTTGTCGTTGTTGGGTGAAAAGCAAACAGCTGTTTACTGCGGAGCCAGCGCGAGCAGGCTCCCGTGAGCGCCGGGCAAAAAACTATCTTCGAATTAAAGAAAGTCACCGGAGGAGTTAAAGGAGAGTGACAGGTAGCATGAGAAGAAGAGGGAGAGAAAGTTTCAGCCAG